TTTGCCTGACAAATTGATATTGAATTTTGTCATAATTCGCAACAAGATTCACAACAAGTGGTGCGGTAAGCGTGGAGCAAAGAGATATTGTTGACAAGTGAGCACCATGGTTAGTAGATGACATATCGAGAAATTTTCTGGTAACAACGACTTCGGGTTGTGGAAAATTAAGATGTAAGCAATTTTAATTCAAGAGAAGTGTATCGATGCTTGGAAGAGTGAAGCATTGATGCCTGCAGGGCTTACACATGTATAAAAGTCCGAGATGGTGGATAAGGCCAGGAGTGCCATTATCTTGTGCCTCGGGGATAAAGTTCTAAGAAAAGTCTCCAGGGAGCAAACTGCGGTTGCTATGTGGACAAAACTTGAATCATTGTATATGAAAAAGTTTTTGGCTCACAGGTTGTATCTGAAACAACAACTCTATTCATTCTGAATGGTGGAGAACAAATCCATAGTTGAACAACTCATAGAATTTCACAAGATTATCGATAATCTTGAGAATATTGAAGTGAAGATTGATGATGAGGACAAGGTTTTGCTCCTGTTGAGTTTATTACCCAAATCCTTTGAGCACTTTAAGGATGCCATTCTTTATGGTAAGGAAGATACTATTACTTTGGATGAAGTCCAGACGGCGGTGAAATCCAAAGAATTTTCAAAGTCGAAAGATTTGAAGATTGAAGATAATGGTGAAGGCTTAAATGTGTCAAGAGAAGGAGGTGAGCGTAAAGGGATGTCCAAATCAAAGAGGTCTGACAAGTCAAAGGTAAAATGTTTTAATTGTCAGAAAATCGGTCACTTTAAAAGGGATTGTCCTGAAAGAAAGATCAATGAAGATTCTTTTCAAGCTGTAGTTGCATTGGGTGAGGAAAGTTATGAGGATGCCAAAGCACTAGTAGTATTGAGTTTAGAAACTGAAGATAGTTGGGTCGTTGACTCAGGTTGCTCTTATCACATCTGTCCAAGAATAGAATACTTTGAAACTTTGAATATGGTGCAAGGTGGAGTAGTTCGCCTTGGTAATAATAAGACATGCAAGGTTCACGGTATTGGTACGGTCAGATTTAAAATGTTTAATGATAATGAACTTCTTATTCACAATGTGAGGTATGTTATAGAACTCAAGCAAAATTTGTTATCTATAAGTATGTTTGATGATCTAGGCTATTGTACTAGAGTTGAACATGGAGTGTTGAAGATTTCGCGTGATGAATTGATTATTGCTAAAATGTCTAAAATATGTGGCCTATATATTTTAGAAGGTTCAAATGTTATTATTCATTCATCGTTAACTAGTGAATGCTTTCATGACAAGGAAGATCTATGGGATTTGAGTTTAAGGCATTATGAATGCCTTGAGAAAGTTTAAAATGAGTACAATGAATTTTGCATAAATAAAGGGATAAAAATGCATGTTACCACTGAGTTTTTATTGAGTTTTTGGGAAAGAGCTGAGGTTAAAACAACTTACTTGATTGGTAGATAATTTCTTCAGAAGAAGAATAGTGAAAACCAATGGAGAAACTATAACAGGGAAAACTCTGTTTGAGGTGGAGTTTCCTACTATGGATGCTAGCAGTAGTGAGGGAACAGTTACAGAGATCTCTGATTATTATTTTACTCATGATAAGGTAAGGAGGGTTATTGTAGCAACTCAAATGGACGATTATGCTAGCCTTGGAGAATATGTTTTTAATGTGGCTGAAGGACTGCAAAATAAAAGAAGAAAAACCTTCAGGGAGGCATTTGAAAATAGGTGGAGTCAAGGGTGGTTGAAAAATCATACTTGTAGGTTTGTTAAATTACTTAGGCAGCAAAGGGTAATTGGGAACAAGTGGATGCAAGTTACGAGATCAAGATTCAAGGGTTGCTTGAATTTGATCAAAGTTATTGATTAAAGTTTCAACTTGGTAGAGAGCAGCAATGTTGTCGATTGTTAAATTGGTATCAACACAGTTTAAAGTCAAGGTGGAGATTATTGTATATGTGCCTTAAAATCTTTGTTGATGAAGAGAAAGAAAACATATTTTGGAGATTGCATTTACCGCGAAAGTCGGATGAAAAGTCGGAAAAAAAATCGGTCGGTGAATAGTACCGCCCCGTACGAATGAATAGTGATGTCCTTACGGTGAATAGTGTTGTCCGTACAGTGAATAATGTTTTCAAGTTTTCGGGCTTTTTTTTATTCAGTCCATGGATCCATGTGATTTTAGACTTTGTTTGTTGGATATTTGCTATTATAAATATGTATCTCTTATATGCTTGGTGTGTGATAATCTTAGAGTTTACACCAACAAGGGAGAGCAAGTGTTTAAAGATATAGCATAGTGTTTCAGCTATACATAAAGAAAACCATGGATTACACCTTGGGTTTGAGTGATTCATATATTGAGAGTTGGAGAGGTAGAGAAACACTTGAGTAAAAAATAGGGTTGTTCTTGGGCGCCTTTAGGGTTGTTCTTGGGAACCTGAAGGGGAAGGTTATTTTCTTGTAACTCACCTATAATCTCTTGTAATAACTTTCTGAGTATAGTGAATTGCAAAGCTGCTCTCTCCCCCATAGTAGATCGTTTGATCGAACTAGGTAAATAAACCTTCGGTTTTTTCTTGCCTTATTTTGTTATATTATATGTGTACGAATTATTAATGCTGAAGACTATTTATTTTGGTTGCTATTGTTCTTTTCCTGGCAAATTGATATTGAATTTTGTCGTAATTCACAACAAGATTCACAACAAAACAGAAAATACCTGGAAGTGTTTCAAATACCAAAAAGGTATAAAATGCTTATTTTCGAAACAACATGGCGAAAAAAGGTCCAATATCTTAAATGCAACAACTTTTGAAGCTTTTAGATGATAACCACTATGTTTCTAGGGATAGAGTTTGTGAGGATAAAGGCATTGTTTGTGACATGATTTGGACTCATCCGAAATCGTTATATTTTGTTGAGGTTTATTTGAAATTGAAGTTTCTTATACCAAGTACATATTGGAGTGGACGACACATTCCACAAAAGAGACATAAACTTAGTTTGGTCACTTTCTCAAAAAGATGGAAGAGTTCACCAAATTGAGTGAGCTTGAAAGTGAATCAAATAAGGAAAAATTGAAGGAGGAACTTGTAGTAGACTTATGAGATGATTCAACTTTTTATGCATTTTAGATTGTAATCGATACACTTTTTTTAGAATGTATTATTGTCAATGATATAATCTCAATAGGATTTAATACATAAGTAATACTTATTCGACAATGATGGTGTAAACGTCGATTGTTTCTGTTTACAAATTTTATGGTTTACATCTTCTGTTTATGTTTACATAGTTTCTACTTTGTTTCTAGTTAAGGGGTGATTCCGGATATGCATATCCGGATACACTCCATACTAATTTTAGAAGAAAAAAAACGCAACATGGCACTTTGTGGATGTGCATACCCGTAAACACTTTTTTTTCGTAAAAAAAAATAGGGTGTATCCGTACATGCATCTTCGAAAAATATTTTGATGACAAAATAAGATTTCTAAGGTCCAAAGTGATCCAAAACTTATATAAATAGGGTGTCTCTCATCCCATATGTTCTATAAAACACACCACAACGAGAGAATGAATGCACATCCCCACCTTGCATTTATGTATTTCAATGGCGTGAAGCTGTCACTTCAATTTAAGGTCACGGAGGACACAACTCTCTCCGATATGATGTCCAAACTAAATACTCTCATGCGATATCTAAAAAATTAAAAAGTTGTCAAGTTCGAGTATCATTCACCCTCGTTTGACAGCAAATGGCATATATAGTTCACCAACTTTGAATTGAAGGCGAATGAAGATTTAAAGATTATGTGGAGTACTTTTCACCCTTTATAAAAATATGTAATGTTAAATTTATATTAATGGTTATCTATGTAATGTTGAGTATTTTAATTTAATGTCAAGTTGTTATGGTTTCTAGATCTTTCTCATACTGTCTTTGCTTTTGTTTTGAAGTATCAGTGGCATTTTCGGACATACATCTCCAAAATATACCAAATATACGTTCAGAGATATAACTCTGGACTACAATTAAGTATAATAGAGATGATTAACTCGTTTGCGTTCAATTTTATAAAAATTTGATGCGTCAGAAGATGCATCTCCAAACTCTAGAGACATTTTTGAATTTTCACCAAAGATTTGAGAATGTACATGTCATGACATTGACATTTTTGAAATTTCCTAACAACAAACCCATATAAGTAATGCAATAATTCAACTAATTATGTTTAACAAGATCATGACTTCTAAATAAATAATTTTGTTTTGTCAATGTCATGACATGTACATTCTAATATAAACTATCACTTTTGGTTAAATGAATTAGCAATACATCGTAGAAAAATGATAGCGGTGTTTGATCAAGGTTCTGTTTTACTAAAAATCATGTTGTTTGGAAAATGCACATTTGAAAGTGACCGACATGACATGCAAAGGTGATAGGTTTTTAAATTTTTACAAATTTGAAAATGTATTTTTCAAAATGTCATTGAGTTGTTTAAATCGGAATAAATTGATAGAGTTAGTTCGGAAATACATCTCTAAAATAAATTTTGAAAAAATATCGGATGGAACTCAATTATGACGTATTTCAATAACACAAATAATACGTTCAGAGATGCATTTTCAAAATTAAATGAGTATTTTTGAATTTTTATAATATATTTTCTTTCCTCGTACCGCGGAATTAACAATTTTCAATATCTAACCGAAAACCCATAAAATAAGAAATCATTATAAGAACATGAATCAATATAAATAATGCAATAATTGAACTAATTGTGCGTAACAAGAACATGGCTTCTAAATAAGTAAACGTGTGTCATTGTCAGTGTTACATGTGCATTCCACTATAAACTAGCATTTTAATGTCAACGGTCTGTTCTATATACATGTTGATGGTTGCAGTTGAAACTTTAATCTTCAAAAAAACAATCTATAATTGTCTATCATTCATCTTATGCCTCCACTATTATTTGTTCCCTCTTTGGAGATGATTAAACTCGTAGTTTTACCAACAGTTTTGGCACTTTTTGTCCTCATTTTGCATTTCATCACAAGAATTGTCAAACTCAATAAACTGAATCTTCCTAAGGGAACCTTAGGATTACCTATTATTGGAGAAACCTTAAAGCTTTTCAAAGCTAATCTTGAGGAGAAGCAAATAAGGTTCATACAAGAGAGAATGAAGAAATATGACTCAAGGGTTTTCAAGACATCACTGTTTGGAGAGAATATTGCTGTGTTTTGTGGAACAGCTGGGAACAAATTCTTGTTTAGCAATGAAAACAAGAATGTTCAATTGTGGTGGCCAAGTTCAGTTACGAAGCTCTTAAGGTTGTCTCTTGTTAATGAAGCTGGTGATGAAGCAAAGATAACTAAAAGGTTGCTTATGAGTTTTCTTAATCCAGAAACACTAAGAAATTACCTGCCAAAAATGGATAGAATTGCTCAGCATCATATCAACAAACATTGGAAAGGTAAGAAAGTTTGTCACCAATATTTATTACCATGAATCTGAGAGTTTGATCCTCTCAAGGTTTTAAGTTAAAATCTCGTTAGTGCTAACAATCTGTGTGTTGGGTCAATCTATTAATAATTTATGTATGATTTTAAATAGGCCCGTGCTAATGGACGGTGTGATTAGTTCCCTTGGATTAGTCGGTCACTAAGGCTAATACCAAGTTTTTGAGAAGAAAAAAACAAATTGATCAGTTCAATCGGTTAAATTAGAAACTAACTAGTTTGTTAGTAGATTTGATTTTGGTTATACCTTAGTCTGGTTGAACCGCGATTGGCCGCGATTGGTTCTGTTGATTCTTACTTTTTTGCAATTTTTTACTTTTCAAATAATTTTATAGTGATCAGAAGTTTAATACTTGTTAGTTTTCACTTTTTGAAGGGAAGGAACAGGTTGTTGTCTATCCAATAGTACAGCTATACACATTTGAATTGGCTTGTTGCTTATTTTTAAGCATGGAAGATCCTATCCAAATATCATACCTTTTATCATATTTTGAAGAATTTCTCAAAGGTGTCATTAGCTTCTCCATCAATTTTCCTGGAACAAGGTTTCATACGGCAATGAAAGCTGCAGATGTAATAAAGAAAGAAATTAAATTGATTATGAAGAAAAGGAAAAAGGACTTAGAAGAAAAGAAAGCATCACCTACACAAGACCTTTTATCACATTTACTTGTTACATCTGACACAAGTGGAAGGTTTATGAGTGAAGCGGAGATTCTTGATAACATGTTACTACTTCTTTTCGCTGGCCATGACACTTCTAGTTCATTAATATCATTAATCATGAAGTATCTTGGAAATTTGCCTGAGGTTTACGAACAAGTGTTGAAAGGTTATCAAAAATATTCAAACACTCATTTCAAGGTGTTTCGACTTTTAAGTCTGATACATTGGCTTTTTGTGCAATGCAGCAGACTTGATGTTGAAACACGAGAACTTTTAATAAAAATTTGATTAGGATAAATATTTAAATTGTTCTTTTTTTTTAAATAACAGAACAACTTGAAATTAGCCAAGGGAAAGAGGAAGGAGAGTTATTACAATGGGAGGATGTTCAAAAAATGAAATACTCTTGGAATGTTGCATCTGAAGTTTTGAGGCTGTCGCCACCAGTCAACGGTGCTTACAGAAATGCTATAAAGAATTTGACCTATGGTGATTATAACATCCCTATTGATTGGAAGGTACGTTAGTGATGCATCGTTATTTAGATTCTAGTAAAACAAACTATGTATATGTAGCACCGACACTTCTGAAAAATGTGTTTGTGTTAGTGTCAGACATCGACACCTATTCTTATAATTACTTTTAAATTATCTATTTTTTAAAATTATTACCAATGTCAACGTGTCCGTGTTGGTGTTGTGTCCGATGTCCATGCTTCGTAGAAAACAAGTGTGTTTATGATAAATCATGTGTATGTGGTGTTTTTGACAGCTGCATTGGAACACTCGTACAACACACATGGATCCAACACTGTTTACAAATCCTGAAAAATTTGATGCATCAAGATTTGAAGGAGAAGGGCCAATACCTTATTCATATGTTCCATTTGGAGGAGGACCGAGAATGTGTCTGGGGCAAGAGTTTGCTCGGCTAGGGATACTCGTGTTTATGCATAACATTGTGAAACGATTCAAGTGGGATTTAGTTAATCCTGATGAGAACTTCAAGTATGATCCTATGCTAGAACCTGAAAAGGGGCTTCCAATTCAACTTCATCCTTTCCATTACACATCATAATGTATTAAACTGTACGGTTTGAATGTTATTTCATTTTGTATCTGCTTCCATGATTTCATTCAACAAGTGTTGGTTTCAACATAAATTGGATTACGACCGGTTTCTACTGTTTCCTGCGGGAAAAATGGAAACAGTCGCGGATGTTTAAAAGATGTATTCATCACCAGATTTTTAATATACCATCAAATTACACAACCATAGAGGCCTCCAATTACTTTTAACTATTATACGATATCATTGGTCTCGAAGTATAAAAGTCATACATATTCAATATAGTGATTCATCACCAAAATTTTAATGCAATATCAAAATCCATAATCATAAGCTCAACCATAGCCAAATAAGATTCCATTCAAATAAACAACTTAATTAAAAGGTTTATAGTTAAGAGCTTGGATGTAATTTTGATGTTACAGGCATTATGTAGAGAGTAAGTCACTCCAAATTAGTATTAAAGTCCCACATCTCTAAGATAACAAAGAAGAAGAAAGGATGTCAGATATAAAACACAAAATTAACATGCAACTCAACTCGTACCTTTTTCGGCCTTTTGGCCAAAATCAAGTGTAATATTTGTTTTAATTAGTTTAATATCTGATATATGAGTCAATTGCTGTATTATTGCAATAGCCTAGCCTGCCCCATCAAACCTAGTTCAAATATTATTGATCAATATTGATGTAGTTAAAATTCATCCATATCTTTTTCTTAAATTTGATGTGCAAATTGTAACATTCATTTTAATTATTTTAGTTTTATAGTGTTATTTTAGCTTGTGTGGGAATTGTTGGAGAAACTATGGTTTATAATATTAAAATAATATAATTGATAATAAAAATAATATGATAATTAGTAGTGTTGTTACTATTATTATTGTTATTATTATTATTATATTTAATAATATTATTGGAAATGCTAATTTTGGAATAAAAGAAATGAGGATTATTATTATTGGAATTATTTGGAATTAAAGGAGAATTTGGGGTATTAGGGGCAGGGGTGACATTTGGGAAAAGAGGAAAAAGAGAAAGAAGCACGATCAAAAGAGAGAACAGAAGAACACGGTAGAAGCACGATTAAGAGGAGCAAGAGTGAAGGAAGCAAGCTTGAGGAAGGAGAAGATCAAAGCTATAAGATTTTCTTTGGAAGTTTTACTTTGATCAGAGCTGCGTATTCGAGGTAAGGGGGGAGAAAATAGATGGGGAATTGGTAAAATGCATGAATAAGGGTAGTTGGGGGGGGGGGGGGAGTCCTTAACCCCATAGGATTGATGATGATGATTTGCATGTTGATGATCAGTATGATTGTTGTTTTCTGTTTGAATTCTGTCATGGAGAACCATTGCATGTGAGTATTTGAAGTTGGTTGGGGTGAATTGAGTGTTTCGGAGTAGATTATGGTTTTAGGCCGAAAGTGAGTTAATCAGTAGAAGTTTATGTAGGAAGGAAACCCATAGAATACTCATGATTTAGTGGATTTTTCGAGTTTGGTAAATACCCTAACATGTGGGGATTGATTTTGGTAGCAAAGAGGAAAGGGTTGGTGAAAAATACCATTTTCTGCATAATTTTTCGAAAACCTACAGTAAGCAATCGATTGCACCAAGTGAGCAATCGATTGCACATCAAAACAGTGGCTAAAATATGAAAAATTGGGTCAAGCAATCGATTGCACTAATACAGTAATCGATTGCATGCTGTTTAAAAGCTGAAAATTGGAAATTTCTGTTCCGACGATTTTGGCCATAAGTTTTAATCCGTAAGTCGGTTTTAGTCCCCGTTCGAAGTGTTAGAAAGCTAATAAATAGATCTATAACATAGTATAGACAATATATTTAGTTGCCAAATATTTTTATATCCAATATGTTTGGGAAGTCATTGTTTAATTAAATAGTAACTAAACCATGAATCAATTGAGGGTGGTTCTGTTGTCTTGTAGTATTCCTTGAGTTGTGACCATCATAGATATGGTTATTATTGGTGAAGAGTGTATACTTGACACTAAAAGGTGAGATTATGTAGTGATCGAAGTTAATTGGAATAAGTAGATTGAGTTGTGAGACATGTATGGTGTTTAGGGGTGAAGAGCGTATATTTGGTGTTGAAAGGTGAAATTATGGAATAGGAAATTTAATTGATGTAATTAATTGGTGGATAATACATATATATGTATGTATATGATGCATAGTGAGATGATCGGGAGGATCGTGCGTACTCGGTGTTCAAACGTAGATTTCCCTATTATTTAGCTTGATTAACATAATTCATTGGCGTGAAATATATATATGTATGGTGATGGGATCCGGGGGATCGTGTGACTTTAGTTAAAATGATTAATTGATGAACAATATGTATGTATGATGTTGGGTGATGTGATCGGATGAATCGTGTGCACCTTGTATGCTTGGATTATTGTTGTGCACTTAGTGTGCTTGTGTTTATTTGTTGTGTAATATATATGATGTTGGAATGATGGGATCAGTAGGATCGTGTGCACCTTGTGTGCTTGATGTTGGGTGTGATGCATTGGTGTGTGCATAGCATGATGTATGATAATGGATCAGTAGGATCGTGTGCACCGTGCTTGTGGTTGCTATGTGCATTGGTGTCTTGCATAGCATGTGGACGAGATTGAATCATTGCTCGGATGGAGTGTATGTGATTCACCCGTGCTCCAAATGGGGAGCGTGGACGGGATTTGAATCATTGCTCAGATAAGGCGTATGTGATTCACCCGTGCTCCAAATGGGGAGCGTGGTAGGGATAAATCGTTACTCGGATGGAGTGTATGTGATCTATCCTGAGTTTGAGTCGGTACCGCATATCATTGTGTCGAGTTGCATATGTTGCATTGTTTGTGTGCTGTGTTGGCGTGGGACAGTAGGTCCGGATTGATGTATGACGAATGGTGTTTATGTGTGGTCTACTTTTTAATTCATGTACATTATTACCGCTATATTTTGATCATGATTTCTCACCCCTTATTGTTGTTGTTGTTGTGGTATGTGCTTCTTCGTAAGTACATATAATCCAGGTGCGTATCCAACTTAGATAGTGGCCAGTCGAGTCGTAGGGATGCTCTGATACGTAACACAGGGCTTTGGGGAGTTTATTGTTTAGCTGATGATTTTGTTTTTACTCCGTGTCGTATCACGTTTTAATGGATTCTTTGATGATGTTTTGTATATTTTGGGCAGATGGCCGAACATGATGTATGAGATGATGTACATATACGTATATTAATGACAAATTTCTTTTCCGCTGCTTATTTTGAAAATTTTTTAATGAAATGTTTTGTGGAAATTTTTGTGAAAAGTAATATCCCACTTTTGGAAGGGAAACTCTGATAATTTAATTGATTTATTCGCATTTTATTTAAGTTGGGAAGTGGGGTGTTACACAAGTAGCAGTTTTCAATTTATCTAAAAAGTAATAAGAAAGAAAATATCCAACTCAATAATAAAAGCTAAAGGAAATCTGTCAAGCTTGAAGTCGGTCGCTTTCAAGTGAAAAAATAAATAGCAGAGGGTGGGAAGGACCATGGCCTAGGAGAGTGACCTCCATTGCACTTAGGAGGGGTGCTATCCTAAGGTCTACCCAAGTGGTGTAACCTACATCATAATGTGGGGGCCTGCGTCCGCGCAACCCCCTCCATATCTTATATCAAATTGATTTGAATTTCTTGATCCTTACACAGTTTAATAAATTATCAACACTTCTTAACAACCAGATCCATCTATAATTCTAGTTAAGAACTATATATTTCTAGAACTATATACTTTAATTCCTTATTAAATGTACAGAGAATGACACGGTTCTCTATTGAAAAGAATAGCAGATTAGCAATTTAAATATGTGGGTCCTCTATTGAAAAGAATAACAGATTAGAAATCTAAATATGCGGTTTGCTTGTTTGCTTTTCAGATTAGCAATCTAAATATGTGGTTTGCGTTTCAAATTGTCTTACTCATATAACTAACTCGCTCAGTTGAACATGTGTGTGTTGATCTCACTCTTTGATTACTTATATATATTCTTATACTATCTTTATGTTTTTTTTCTTCTGATTCTTATTCTTTAAACAAGCATGTTTTTTTTAAGATAGTTAATATTTGTCACCAACAAGAATGTTGGCAGAGAAGGAATCTTGGTCTGATTCTACTCACAGAAGACTTACAACTAGCTGACACAATACATGCAATCCACAATTGCAGTTGTAATATATAAACTATAGAAATTTCCACAACGGAATTACAACAACATTTATTGTTGCTTGTATTTTACAATAATATTACGGATCACAACAAAATCACAACATCAACAATTTATAGTTGTCTAGATGTAGGATTTATTTGGAGTGGATTGGCTCTAACATAAAGAATCAAATAAAATGCAAGCAGAAAGTTGATTTCATTTGCATATGGATCACCTTAGCAAATGATGATATGCTTAGATCTAACAAAGACCTAGGAAACGCTTTCACTTTGATGTTAAGATTAAGTGTTTCCTAAAATGTAAACAATTTGCTGGCTAGAATGAACATGGCATGCCAAACAAATCAAGCACATGGCATGCACTTCAAAAATGCACGAGTACTAGAAACAACATCGCGAATGTTCAACATTTTTCTATTACTATTGCTTTGTCTTATGCATATATTGATTTGAAATACTATAGTCATATTCAAAATATGTATTCATCACCAGATTTTTAATGTACCATCAAATTACACAATCATAGAGTCACGGTAATGCCACCTTTCTTCGGAACCACATGTACGGGACTAACCCATGGGCTATCCGAAATCGGGTAAATCATTCCCGCATCCAACAACTTAACAGCCTCCTTTCTAACAACTTCCTTCATAGTAGGATTTAAGCGGCGTTGAGGTTGAGCTACCGGTTTAAAGTCCTCTTCCATTAAGATCTTGTGCATACAATAGGAAGGACTAATTCCTTTGAGATAGGAAAGAGTCTAACCCATGGCTTCTTTACTCTTTTT